AACAATATATTGTCACCAGTTGTATACAGAAACAATATATTGTCACCAGTTGTATACAGAAACAATGTCACCAGTTGTATACAGAAACAATCTACCAGTTGTCACCAGTTGTATACAGAAACAATATATTGTCACCAGTTGTATACAGAAACAATCTATTATTGTCACCAGTTGTATACAGAAACAATCTATTGTCACCAGTTGTATACAGAAACAATCTATTGTCACCAGTTGTATACAGAAAAAATATATTGTCACCAGTTGTATACAGAAACAATCTATTGTCACCAGTTGTATACAGAAACAATGTATTGTCACAGAACAGAAACAATCTATTGTCACCAGTTGTATACAGAAACAATCTATTGTCATTGTTACAGAAACAATATACAGATAACAATCTATTGTCACCAGTTGTATACAGAAACAATCTATTGTCACCAGTTGTATACAGAAACAATCTATTGTCACCAGTTGTATACAGAAACAATCTATTGTCACCAGTTGTATACAGAAACAATCTATTGTCACCAGTTGTATACAGAAACAATCTATTGTCACCAGTTGTATACAGAAACAATATATTGTCACCAGTTGTATACAGAAACAATATATTGTCACCAGTTGTATACAGAAACAATCTATTGTCACCAGTTGTATACAGAAACAATCTATTGTCACCAGTTGTATACAGAATCAATCTATTGTCACCAGTTGTATACAGAAACAATCTATTGTCACCAGTTGTATACAGAAACAATATATTGTCACCAGTTGTATACAGAAACAATATATTGTCACCAGTTGTATACAGAAACAATATATTGTCACCAGTTGTATACAGAAACAATCTATTGTCACCAGTTGTATACAGAAACAATATATTGTCACCAGTTGTATACAGAAACAATGTATTGTCACACCAGTTGTATACAGAAACAATCTATTGTCACCAGTTGTATACAGAATCAATCTATTGTCACCAGTTGTATACAGAAACAATCTTCTGTCACCAGTTGTATACAGAATCAATCTATTGTCACCAGTTGTATACAGAAACAATCTATTGTCACCAGTTGTATACAGAAACAATCTATTGTCACCAGTTGTATACAGAAACAATCTATTGTCACCAGTTGTATACAGAAACAATATATTGTCACCAGTTGTATACAGAAACAATATATTGTCACCAGTTGTATACAGAAACAATATATTGTCACCAGTTGTATACAGAAACAATATATTGTCACCAGTTGTATACAGAAACAATCTATTGTCACCAGTTGTATACAGAAACAATATATTGTCACCAGTTGTATACAGAAACAATATATTGTCACCAGTTGTATACAGAAACAATATATTGTCACCAGTTGTATACAGAAACAATCTATTGTCACCAGTTGTATACAGAAACAATATATTGTCACCAGTTGTATACAGAAACAATCTATTGTCACCAGTTGTATACAGAAACAATCTATTGTCACCAGTTGTATACAGAATCAATCTATTGTCACCAGTTGTATACAGAAACAATCTTCTGTCACCAGTTGTATACAGAAACAATATATTGTCACCAGTTGTATACAGAAACAATATATTGTCACCAGTTGTATACAGAAACAATCTATTGTCACCAGTTGTATACAGAAACAATCTACTGTCACCAGTTGTATACAGAAACAATATATTGTCACTAGTTGTATACAGAAACAATCTATTGTCACCAGTTGTATACAGAAACAATCTATTGTCACCAGTTGTATACAGAAACAATATATTGTCACCAGTTGTATACAGAAACAATATATTGTCACCAGTTGTATACAGAAACAATCTATTGTCACCAGTTGTATACAGAAACAATCTATTGTCACCAGTTGTATACAGAAACAATCTATTGTCACCAGTTATATACAGAAACAATATATTGTCACCAGTTGTATACAGAAACAATCTATTGTCACCAGTTGTATACAGAAACAATATATTGTCACCAGTTGTATACAGAAACAATATATTGTCACCAGTTGTATACAGAAACAATCTATTGTCACCAGTTGTATACAGAAACAATCTATTGTCACCAGTTGTATACAGAAACAATATATTGTCACCAGTTGTATACAGAAACAATATATTGTCACCAGTTGTATACAGAAACAATCTATTGTCACCAGTTGTATACAGAAACAATCTATTGTCACCAGTTGTATACAGAAACAATGTATTGTCACCAGTTGTATACAGAAACAATATATTGTCACCAGTTGTATACAGAATCAATCCATTGTCACCAGTTGTATACAGAATCAATCTATTGTCATTAGTTGTATACAGAAACAATCTATTGTCACCAGTTGTATACAGAAACAATCTATTGTCACCAGTTGTATACAGAAACAATATATTGTCACTACTTGTATACAGAAACAATATATTGTCACCAGTTGTATACAGAAACAATGTATTGTCACCAGTTGTATACAGAAACAATCTATTGTCACCAGTTGTATACAGAAACAATCTATTGTCACCAGTTGTATACAGAAACAATGTATTGTCACCAGTTGTATACAGAAACAATGTATTGTCACCAGTTGTATACAGAAACAATCTATTGTCACCAGTTGTATACAGAAACAATCTATTGTCACCAGTTGTATACAGAAACAATCTCTTGTCACCAGTTGTATACAGAAACAATATATTGTCACCAGTTGTATACAGAAACAATATATTGTCACCAGTTGTATACAGAAACAATATATTGTCACAATAGTTGTATACAGAAACAATATATTGTCACCAGTTGTATACAGAAACAATATATTATTGTCACCAGTTGTATACAGAAACAATATATTGTCACCAGTTGTATACAGAAACAATCTATTGTCACCAGTTGTATACAGAAACAATATATTGTCACCAGTTGTATACAGAAACAATCTATTGTCACCAGTTGTATACAGAAACAATATATTGTCACCAGTTGTATACAGAAACAATATATTGTCACCAGTTGTATACAGAAACAATACCAGTATTGTCACCAGTTGTATACAGAAACAATATATTGTCACCAGTTGTATACAGAAACAATGTATTGTCACCAGTTGTATACAGAAACAATATATTGTCACCAGTTGTATACAGAAACAATATATTGTCACCAGTTGTATACAGAAACAATATATTGTCACCAGTTGTATACAGAAACAATCTATTGTCACCAGTTGTATACAGAAACAATCTATTGTCACCAGTTGTATACAGAAACAATATATTGTCACCAGTTGTATACAGAAACAATCTATTGTCACCAGTTGTATACAGAAACAATGTATTGTCACCAGTTGTATACAGAATCAATCTATTGTCACCAGTTGTATACAGAAACAATGTATTGTCACCAGTTGTATACAGAAACAATCTATTGTCACCAGTTGTATACAGAAACAATCTATTGTCACCAGTTGTATACAGAAACAATGTATTGTCACCAGTTGTATACAGAAACAATATATTGTCACCAGTTGTATACAGAAACAATATATTGTCACCAGTTGTATACAGAAACAATATATTGTCACCAGTTGTATACAGAAACAATGTATTGTCACCAGTTGTATACAGAAACAATATCTAGTCACCAGTTGTATACAGAAACAATATCTAGTCACCAGTTGTATACAGAAACAATATCTAGTCACCAGTTGTATACAGAAACAATATATTGTCACCAGTTGTATACAGAAACAATATATTGTCACCAGTTGTATACAGAAACAATATATTGTCACTAGTTGTATACAGAAACAATCTACTGTCACCAGTTGTATACAGAAACAATATATTGTCACCAGTTGTATACAGAAACAATATATTGTCACTAGTTGTATACAGAAACAATATATTGTCATTAGTTGTATACAGAAACAACATTGTCACCAGTTGTATACAGAAACAATCTATTGTCACTAGTTCTACCTTCCATTTCAAGTTGTAGACAGAAACATCCAAATAACAATAGTTGTATATAGAAACATAAACTTGTGTCACTAGATGTATACATAAACAAAAAATAACCTATTGTGACAACAGCCCACATCAACTAGTTTTTGATAACAGCCCACATCGACTAGTTTGTGACAACAGCCCACAACATCGACTAGTTTATGACAACAGCCCACATCAACTAGTTTTTGATAACAGCCCTCAACATCGACTAGTTTGTGACAACAGTCCACAACATCGACTAGTTTGTGACAACTGCCCACATCAACTAGTTTTTTATAACAGCCCACAACATCGACTAGTTTGTGACAACAGCCCACAACATCGACTAGTTTGTGACAACAGCCCACATCGACTAGTTTGTGACAACAGCCCACAACATCGACTAGTTTGTGACAACTGCCCACATCAACTAGTTTTTTATAACAGCCCACAACATCGACTAGTTTGTGACAACAGCCCACAACATCGACTAGTTTGTGACAACAGCCCACATCGACTAGTTTGTGACAACAGCCCACAACATTGACTAGTTTGTGACAACTGCCCACATCAACTAGTTTTTCATAACAGCCCACAACATCGACTAGTTTGTGACAACAGCCCACAACATCGACTAGTTTGTGACAACAGCCCACAACATTGACTAGTTTGTGACAACAGCCCACATCGACTAGTTTTTGATGCCTGTCTTTGTTCATTAACGTGATACCAAACAGAGGTCAACACTTAGGGGTGGCACAATTCATAAATAACAATAGTTAGGGGGGAATCTATTTATGCAGGACAATATTTAGGGGCGATACGATTCATAAAGAACAATAGTTAGAGGTGAAACTATTCATAAAGGACAATAGTTTCTGGTGATAAAATTCATAAATGACAATAGTTTAGGGCGATATAATGCATACAAGGACACAAGTTGGGGGTAATAAGATACATAAAGAATAATAGTTTTGGTAAATACAAAACAATTTCCTCTGAAGCTTATATATTATTTATTTCAAATACAAGTACATTGTATCGTAGTCTAGATGTGACAATTCCAAATTTCTACAATAAAGAAATAATTTAAATATAAAGCATTTCACGCATTTTTTATGATAGCTCTCGGGGAAATCCTATGTAACTTATAAAGAGAGTTCTACAAGAATTATGACTTGTCATGAAATATTTTATTTGATGTGATCACAAAAAATGAACAAAATTTTTTTTTTCCGTTATTATATATCAGCTTTCAAGTCAAGTGTCAGATAAATATTGTGCCTCATATTGACATGCTAAATTAACTGAACACACTTCAGAATCTCCTACACAAACAGTGATTGCTACGTTTATTGTTTGTCTGCTGATCTCACATATTGCTGACTCCCCGTCTGGATTTGTTTTGTCTTTGCTCCTGCTTGCATTTTCTCAACATATAAACACTGTCTGTACCATGTGGTTTTCCTGCACATTAAGCTGCTGCACCAGGCTTGTACACTCTCTTTTGTGACAAGTTGATCTTGTCACCCATACTTAAAGCCATACCCTGCAATATAAGAACGTTTTCATGCTGTAACGATTATCCTTGGAAGAGAATGTAAAAGTGCAATGACTGTGGAACATACACATTCTTTCCTCATACAAGTGTCTGTCAAAAATTGCAGATTTCACATGTTAAAGGAACTGGCATAATTCTACAATTTCTTCAGTTAACTTGGAAAGCTTTTGTTATTATCCTTCAATACTGAATATTGAATAAATAATTTACAAATTGAGACAGACACAGTATTTTTTATATGACAACATTCAATTCTGAAGATTAAAGTATGAATTACATCATCTTTATACATTTATTACTGACCATATTCCCACCTGAGGAATAAAAAGTTACTTACCTGACTTTTTGCACGGATCCTGATATGACCTTGTACTGGAGCTTCATTAGATAGGTGGGCAGGTTTTTCAACACTCAGGTTAGCTAGCACATCCTCACCAAATATAGACTTGGCATACAGGTTTGCAGCCATAAATCCACACTCCCCAGACAATGCCTGCATAGAAATGAAAAAAAAATAATTCAGATTTTCAGTAATAAAAAAAAAGTCAAAGAAAATAATGCAAACATTTTGAAAAATAAGTTTTAATATCAAACCAGACAATAAAATTTCTCAAAATATTTCAAGATTTGTGACAATAAGAGACGTTAAAATAGATGCAACACAGAGAAAGTCAGGAATAATTCAGGTTGTGCAAGGGTAAGCAATATCATTTGTAAAACAACAAAAGATAAATTGAAGAACTGGGCAAAATTATCTCCCTTCCACCTGGAGAGAAGATAATGCTCTTCAATGGCAAAAACATGGCATGATTTAAGAAAAGATATATCTGTTTGGACAACAAATGGTTATTGGGTTTGTACAGTTATTATAACATATATATTGTGGTCATTCCACACTCACCTTTTCTGGGGTCAGACATTTCATATTGGTACATTTGATGACATGCTGAAGAAATTCAGACAAATTGGAGATGTTTGTGTTTACAGCCACCTTATTCTCCCATTCAAACTCTGCCCACATCTGGCGGAACTCGCTATCGTTACACATAGCAGGCACAATGTAGTCCATTATGTCGATATGAATGTCATTGAGGACAACACAATTTCGGTCACTGGCTGCTCCAGTCACATCATACACTGTTGACAAACATATATATGACTTATTTTCCTATATTTCAGATAATATTAAGACCATTCTGCAGGTATTTAACATATCTAAACTGTAAAAAGATCCAAACACTGCTATGGCTGCCATGTTGATTGCATGTGTTGACATGTTGTTTTTTTTTTCGGTCATTTTAATATCAAATCTTTTTAATCTGTAAAGAAATGATTTGGCAAAGTCTGGACATAATGTCTCCAAAAAAAATATTCTATTGCTGTGGAAATTACAACAGATATTTTCTGTAGCATATAGCGATGTTCCATATTCATAAATAGAGTCAGCAGACAGGTAGACTTTGACTGTAAATAATCAGTAAATGTACCTATGTTTCCAAAAATGATTCCATTCTCTGTTGAGGCCACTTTAACGTTCGCCTTGATGTTACAGAAATCGTGAGGTGCCATGGTTAGGGGCGACGGCTTCTCCACCAGCTTTAAATCACCTGTAATATACCAAAAACAAACTCATAAATTAACCAGAATTTGGTTTAAAAGGTAAAATATTCTGCTGGAAATTTTAAAATTTACAAATTTATTGAATTTCCTAAGTGCTTAGTTCATAAAGTCATGTTTTAACAAATTTTATAAAATAGAGTCGTACATTAATTGTTGGAACCAGAGTGAGTATTAGGAGTTAATGAGTACAAGAGGCCCATGTGTCTTAACAGTCACAAACTATAAAGACCTGTATATGATACATTTATACAATTATCAACAGTTTGGTATATTTTCCCACTGATTTTCAGCTCATTGACACATATGGATCTTGAGAAAAAAATTAAAAATGTGTTTTTCATGATAGGAGCCATGGCATCATATTGAATTTTGGACTGTTTCAGGCAAGTTCCAGCTCAATCCTACAGGCTCCTAAAGTTTATACAATGGGGTATGCTGTTTGATAAATAGGATTGGTGTAGTGACCAGTACATACCCAAAGTGGCCAACTCTAGAGTGAGGTTCTGTAGTGTGTCCCCAGTCTGGTTGACTACCAACACATCAAGTACAATGTCAAACTGGTTCACATTGACATAGGCTTCTGCATATACTGGGTCAGAAAATCCTGTCAGTTGTGTCACCTGGTAACAAATATTTTGAGAAATACACTTAATTTTGAATTAATATTCAGTCTGAGGGTTTTTGGGGAGTGGGAGAGAATTGGGGCTGGTGTCTTTGAATGGGAAAAAATGTGCAACTATTTCTATTTGTAATCTGAAAGTTTTTTCTGTACAAACAAATTCTTGTCTCTTGTCAATTAATCAACTGAGAAACATTCTTTTTAAACACTGCCATGAGATCTAAAGCGAAAGAGTTGATCTGGAGAGAAGGGTACAAGGTATTGTATATTTTTATCACTTACTTTGTTTAGTTTTGAGGCACCTACAGGGTCTGCATCTTTCTTGGTATTCATTCCCAGGGCTTGGGAAAGTGTCAACTCAAACATATTCTACAACATAAAAAGTGTATAGAATGAGTGAAACAGTTAAAAGAGAAAGCAATATTCAAGTTATAAAGACACTTTAAAACTCCTAAAAAAAAAAAGCTTCATAATCAGTGTTTTCATCTAATGACACTCTCAGAGTCAATATGTAGTCAGGTGAATCAAGAATGATATCAAAAATTCCCTACCTAAATATCTTCAGTAGATTTTCCTTTAACTTTACAATAACAGTTTAACAGTTTCTGTAAGTCACCCCAAACTTTACAATAACAGTTTTTATAAGTCACCTAAATTTTACAATAACAGTTTTTATAAGTCACACAAACTTTACAATAACAGTTTTTATAAGTCACCCAAACTTTACAATAACAGTTTTTATAAGTCACACAAACTTTACAATAACAGTTTTTATAAGTCACACAAACTTTACAATAACAGTTTTTATAAGTCACCCAAACTTTACAATAACAGTTTTTATAAGTCACCCAAACTTTACAATAACAGTTTTTATAAGTCACACAAACTTTACAATAACAGTTTTTATAAGTCACCCAAACTTTACAATAACAGTTTTTATAAGTCACACAAACTTTACAATAACATTTTTTATAAGTCACCCAAACTTTATAATAACAGTTTTTATAAGTCACCCAAACTTTACAATAACAGTTTTTATAAGTCACACAAACTTTACAATAACAGTTTTTATAAGTCACACAAACTTTACAATAACAGTTTTTATAAGTCACCCAAACTTTACAATAACAGTTTTTATAAGTCACCCAAACTTTACAATAACAGTTTTTATAAGTCACACAAACTTTACAATAACAGTTTTTATAAGTCACCCAAACTTTACAATAACAGTTTTTTATAAGTCACTCAAACTTTACAATAACAGTTTTTATAAGTCACACAAACTTTACAATAACAGTTTCTATAAGTCACACAAACTTTACAATAACAGTTTTTATAAGTCACACAAACTTTACAATAACAGTTTTTATAAGTCACACAAACTTTACAATAACAGTTTTTATAAGTCACACAAACTTTACAATAACAGTTTTTATAAGTCACACAAACTTTACAATAACAGTTTTTATAAGTCACCCAAACTTTACAATAACAGTTTTTATAAGTCACCCAAACTTTACAATAACAGTTTTTATAAGTCACCCAAACTTTACAATAACAGTTTTTATAAGTCACCCAAATTTTACAATAACAGTTTTTGTTAGTTACCCAAACGTCACATTGACTGGAGAGGAATTACAACACAAGAAATGTGATATCCAAAACTAATGACCAAATTTTATTACATTTCCTATTCATACCTCTGTAGCTCCAAGTTCCCCCTTGTTAATGAGTTGTGAGAAAGCTATGGGATCGTCCGCCTGGACCTTCACTGCTCGACGTTCTGACACCTGTAAGATATATTGGATTTTGTACACAAAATATTTTACTCTGATTAATTTTGCTGGCTTTTGAAGTATTTTTATCTAAACATCTCAATTTGATAGTAATCCAGATAAAAAATTCATCTTCATTTTCTCAGTATCTCTTCAATAAACATTTGCAACTTTAAAACGTTCAACAGTCTACTACATCTGAATGTCACAAACTGAAGCTAAAAACAAATACTTTTAAGGCAATCCTTTTTTTCCAGATTATGATACATATCTATTGCCAAAATCTTCCATCAGGTTTTTAGCTGAATTCATGATATCCATACTTACTCTCTGCATTTCTTTCTCCTCGTCCATCTTAGCAGCCAACATGAGAGACAGAGACTCGCGGCAGTCTTTGCTGAATATGTCTTCCATGATTGGAGTTCTCTCCGCTAATACCCTCAAGCAGGTTGCAATACGGTCAAAATCATCATCAGTGATGGGCTAAAGACCATAAAAATGTTTTCACACTTAACAACCATTGTTAATTCCAAGCATATTGATAAATAGACAACTGAGGTTTATATGAAAGTTGATTCAACATGTTACAAGATATATCACACTTGTGAAAAAACTATAAACTATTGACATGAAGTAGTATATCATCAAATGAGACATATATTCTCACCTTTGTAGGGAGTCCAGATTTTCCAAAATGAATGATTGAGGCCATAACTAACATAGATTCTGCCAGGAAAGACTGAAAAAAGAAGATCAAAATGAGAACCATAATTTCAATATCTAACAAAGGATACTGACTTGCATTCTTCTTTCAGAATTATCTGTTAAATGTATGGAAAATTTCATGATATAAACGACTGTGAGGATTATCTACTACACATAGGTGGTCAGAAATAATGTAATCGTCGGTCAAAAAGAAAAACATCAAAGGCTGTGAATTGATTCTCTATGCATTGTATACAATGCTTCCAAAAATGGTTGAGGAAGACTAATTACATTTTGACGTTTGATGTTGTCTGTATTGTTGACATATCGCAGTGCTAGTTTAGTGAGGGTAGTGGCTAATGACGCTCCGACAAAGAAGTCTCCATCCATCATGTATTGTCTCATAGGTGGCCTGTTAAGAAAGGAGTATAACACTGACAGTCAGATCTTGCACTTCTCTATTTACCAATACTATTATATTGGGACAGAACTTTTCATTAAGTAACAGAATTTTTCATTCCCAATTATTTTCAAGACATCCTTTCCAATTATTTCGTTAATCTGAAAAACTGACAATTAATCAATCTAAAAATACAATTAATCGTTTATAATTGTTCAGATAGATATTGTCTTTGTGAATCAGTCTCTACAGAAACCAACAGAAGCTAATGTCATTTGAGAAGTCATTAAATAAAACTTAAATGCAATGTTACCAGTTTTTAAGAGATGGAAAATGTGTATCTTACAGAATGCCATTAAACTATCTGTAAAGCAGGTTTCACTATCATTTCTTATAATATTTAATATCATCCCTTGGTCAACCCACCTGTCCTCCTTCTTGGAGACTGCAATTGTGCTGAATGCACTCTGTGTTGCATAAGTACCATCGGCAGTGACTAGTTTCTGAGCACTTCCAGCTCCCTGCATTTCTGTTATAAAGAACACTTCATTTGTAGTATATGATCAACTCTCCTTAGTATTGTGATGCTGGTAATTTTGATACTTATTTTCATATTTAAGCCTATCATATTGATTAAAATCAATTGGATTCTTGATGATTTTTTTTGCTTTTTCTTTTTTAATTCGTACTTACCGATATTGCACAAATCAAGAATAAAATCACCCCCAAAAAAACAGGGTAAACAACTTATTTCTATTTCAGATTTTGTTTTTGTTGTAGTTGAACTCAGTGGCTATTTCTGTCTTTAAACAATTTCTATTGAATATAATTTCATTTCACTGATATGCATACCAGAATGCAAAGTAGAAACTGTCATCCCCAAAGGAATGAGAAACATTGTTTTGACAGGGTTCTTCAGTTTAAACCTAAATTACCCACTTTTATTATTATTAAAGTCACACTTTGGAATAATTGAATTCCCTTCTATGAAAACAGTAGGTAAAAAGAATATTTTCCAATTAACAACAACAACATACCATCATCCTTGATTTCTCCAGCAGCTTTCTTGATCTCATCATCCACAATAGGAATCTGAAAAAGACCAGATTTGATGAGATGTCAAACTATGGTCAGCTGATGAAAAGTTACAAACTGAATTAAGGCTGTTTTCAGAATAAACACAGTCAATTATTGCTAAAGGTACATTTAGAAACTGACCTCTCCAATAGATTGGCGAATAAGATTCATGACACTTTGTATGTCCTCGTTGGTAGTACAATATTCACCCAGGATCCACAGAGCAGCCCGGTGTACCCTGTAAATGTAGAAAATAGCTTTTAGAATACAAGTTCTTAACTGAAAGATTCAATATCTGCAAAATCAAAATTTGATTTATTTTTTTGAATTTATACAGGAAATAAAAGAAGTATGAAATCACTTTTTCTACTCCAATAAAAATATATACAACACATTATAAAAACTCATTGGAGATTTAATTTGTCTACATTTGCAGTCATTAAAGATAAAAAAGACAACATTAAGTACCCAGCAAATATTTCTATAGTAAGTCAAATTCTAAGAAGCTGAATATAGACATGATGTGTCTATATATAAGCAGCAAGAGGGGAGTTTTGTGCAAAATATAGTCTCTGTAAAGTAGCCCCAACTGGCGACAACTATAAAATATTAGATTCACAAATTTAACAAGTACACTATGGTCAGATACCCTTTTTCTTTATTTTACTGTGTGAATATAATGACATAAAAGACATATCTTAAATTTCCACACACAAAATTATAAGATGAATTCCATTCTGAAATAATTCATATTATTATTTTACAAATTAGAAAAAGGAATTTTAACTAAGATGACTTGCTTTCCTTGGATGTACCACTTCAATGCATTATTAACTATTATCATTAAGCAGGCTACCTTTTATTGTATGCCTTAAGCTAGGCTTTATCAAACTTACTTGATAGCCTTAATGGAGGGGAAAATCTCCAGAAGTTTGGAGACAATGAGGGTTCTAAGTTCCTCAAATCTCTGTATAGCTTCTCTGACAAATACCAGCACATCCAGGGCAGCCAACTCGTTCTGGTCACCAAGAAACTCAATCAGCTGTCAATAACAAACACATTATTATAATGAATTGATTTTGAGCTTTGTGATATATCACTTGGTATAAGTTGTATGAGCAAATTATGAAATGTCTAAGGGATATTAATGTACTTGTTGCCATGAAAATGAGCATCAATCTTTTGACAAATTGTATTTATAGTAAATATAATAATGGTGACCCTTACACTGGAACCATGAACATAAATTCATGGAAGTGAATTTCTCAAACTATTTCCATCAAACTGAAACCAAATTACTAAAGTCAACAGTGTGGCAACCAGCCAGGACAAGATAGACATAGGGTAAACACTATATAATAATACAACATGTACATTGACAAGTGTATAATTACATCATTAACATAAAACATGTACAATGTGTTAGTGCCAGGGCACACATACAAAAACTTCAGACCTAAAACTACATGAATACAGAAAAATATCTTTTATCCAAAATTTCAAGACAAACAGTATCATCATTTGACAATCATAGAAGGGACTGCTACCAGTCCAGAATTTTTGACAATTTAAAACCTACCACAGGTATAATGGTACCGGCAATGTCTGGGAACTTGATACAGCACTGATGGAGTGTTCTCACAAGTAGCTGGCGGTATTTTCCAGTATCCTCGTGTTCCACATTATTTGTCTTCACAACCTCCTTTCTCAAGACTAGGACCATCTATAAGGAAGATTATACAGATTCTACCATTTTAGCAATTTTTTAAAACACAAATTGGATTAGAAATAACATTTACATATAAGATTAAAGGAACTGTATTCTATTTCACATAAAACTAGGATATAAAACTTCAAAATGACCCAACATGTTAAGAATATGTAAAATAAAAGACAACATCATGTGTATTCATCAATATAGGTTTGAATCAAGAAATTTAATACAGTATATTAAAATTAATTAGTAAAATGTTGAAATTCAGTTCTTGTTACATCACTTACTTCCTCCATATTCCTTGACGTAACCAGCTCCAGAGCCAATGATAATGTTTTCTTTCTAACCTCATGGTCAGGTGAACTTAGTACTCTCAGAATGTCCATCACAAGATCCTTCAAAGGTAATGAAACATCATTGTAAACATTCTAAAATAAAACATTTTGTGTGGATAGAACTGAAGTGGGGCGTTTTATTGGGGGTTTTGTGAAATAAAACAGCCTGATTCCTTTCAAAGATTCAATCAAACAATGGCTTTAACAATGAAGGTAAAAGATGAAAACTTGTTGTTTAACTCAACAATGAGTTCAATCTCAAAAGAAAGTTATTTGGAGGTTGCATGTCCAATTAACATTCATGTAACACTAATGAATAAATTCCACATCCAAGATGTACCTGCAAGACTTTTTCATGTAAAGGAACCTCCTTCAGTGCAATGAGTCGGTCAAGCACAATTAGTTTGACGTTATTGTCACTTTCCTTCACAATCAACTCAATGTAACAGCTAGCAGCAGCCTGTTTAAACAGCAGAATATACAAAGATTAAAACACATTTTTAATAATCAACCAGAATAATTAGGAATAAAAATTGTAATAACATTTGGTAAAGATTATTTTTCAAAATGATTCCCGTTACATGTTGGCAAATGTAAATCTAGCAGAAAATAACTTGAAAAATCATAACAAATGCTCAAACTACTGGATTTTTTTTTAAATATTTAAGATGTTATGAAAAAATTAATTCAACTTCTTATTATACCTTGATTGCTGTTGGAGCATTGGACAGAGTGACCAGGGTACCTGCTGCTTCGTAACGGACAGCTGGACTGGAGGAGTTCAACAAGTTATAAATACAACGGATGAAACGCGCCCTCTCAGATGGATTGGCATGGCACACCTATGTAAGTGAATGTAACATTTCATTATTAACAAGTGACACAGATTTCATGAGTTTTTGTTTACAATTACCAAGTAGAGTACAAAAAAGCATCATTTTTACAAAATCTTGACAAATTATCCTAACACAATGACTTGCAGCTGAAAAACTCAAAATTTCCCTGAAACATTTTTTTCTGTGTAGGAACTTTCAACAAAAGCTTAAAAGACACACACCTTATAGATCAACTCGACAATGACAAGCTGGAGGATGTCCCCAAAGGAAGTCACCTGATCAATACAACTACTAAGGTAGTTGAGTGCTCGCTCCTGGAACATACAATACATAAAATACATAATTAACTTCCTCAGCAACAGGTACATTGAGTCACCAACATGCATCACCTGGGTGTATTAACATTCAACAAGCTTCAGCTTCAAGGAGACATGATAAAAACTACACAATTTTTGTTACTTGTTCTGATAGAGAAACAAGCAAAAACGAAGCAATGTGACTAAGATAAAATCCTCGTATATAGGTGTGGTAACAAGTTTTATGCATAATTTCAAAAGCTTATTAGATTTGAGGAAGGAAAATAATAATCAGTTTTGACAAGATAAATTGCTTCTAGTGAAACTTTCAGTTAAGAATAAATTCGTACAAAATTATTAACCTTTTATTTGATATTTTTCTCTTAATAAAGTTCTTTCTCAGAATGTCTACAGCATGAATTCAGACCGAAACGTCAAACAACTAATTTACTAAACGAGTTTGTCACGCACCTGGTCAGCATGGATCAGCATCATGAATGCATTCCTTTTACATGACATGTCCTGTTCAGTTTCCAAGAACTTGGCAATCAGCTCAGGGGCGTCAGGAATCAGAAAATCAAAATTCCTGAAAACAGACAAGGGGTTTCTCTGATTTCAAAATCTGCTTTCACATAAATTGTTATAAATTGACAGAAATTGTTTGAATCATTTAAAACACAACCATGATCATTTGAACCATGATGTAATTCTGACCCAGTCAGAAAATTCTTACATGCTACTTTTCAATGTTAATTTATATAGCAAGTCTAACATCATCTAATTAATCAACAAGTTGAGATCAAAATGCATAAAATGAAATAGATTTTACCGCACTAGGTATTTCAAAGGATTTGTTGGTTATTGTTTCAACAGTGATGAACTTACTGATAACAAGTTTGCTGTAAGGACTGTAATATTTGGCTTTGAAATAAACACACACAGTTCAACACTGATAATACAGCTTTCTATCATTTCACAACTTGCTTACAATCACTTTATTCCAAAACCTTCCTTTGTTGCTTTTATAATATTGAACTTACCTAAATTTACCCTATGTATTTTCAACTCTATCAAAATACCAACACTCAAAAATACCTGGGTATAAGAACCACAGACTTATATGACAAATAAACAGACCTGAAGATGGTGTAAATGGCAAGAACAGCATTTCTGCGAACATAGGAGTGACGGTGCTCCAGACACTGTCTAATTGCCGGCATCAAAGGTTCTACAAGTTCTGGTTCCTTCAGCTTACACAGGAAGCGCAGAGTGGATCCACGAATAAACTCATTTGGATGCTGTAGGTCCTGTCCACAGCAAACAAAACAACTTTCATGAACTCTTTGGTATAATATCTAGATGAATCAATTAATTCACTAAAAATACAATCAATAAATTAAACAAAAATATAAAGTAACTGATCATGAGACATCCTTATAAAGTTACTAAAGCCTTGCCAGCTATCCAGTTTAATGGTACCTCCATTACAATGATTGGAGCAAAACAATCTGTACACTTCTATTGCTTTCAATGATAACAAAGACTTGTTCTTGATAAACCTTTTAATAAATCTATTCTCACCTTCCTATAGGCATCACAAACAAGAATCATCTCGTGTAACATCTTGCCATCTGCTGTGTACTTGGGTACCACCTCCCAGAAGATGAGGAGTAACTTCTTGATCATATGGTCCTGTGACGGCATCACAAATCTGATGATGGTCATCAACAGGGAGGGCATCTTCTCTCCATTCAGTATCATTTGAATGGTTTTCTTCAAGGCATCAGTCTTTGTTCTTGTGTCTCCCTTTTCTGAAGCCAGACACATATAAGGTCGTAACACATGTGTTTTCATTTTTAATCAGCATTTTCAGTAGGCACAGAAATATATTTTGTTGCGTTTTAACATAATTTTAATCATAAAAACACTGGTTGTCTGGAGCTCTGGTCTCTTAAAGGGTTTCATAAGCATCATGCTGGTCATATATGTATCTGATGATTACATAAAGGGGACGTAACTCTGTAAAATAAGGGTATAAATGGCATCAGTATTTAAGCAAAAATATATCAATACGGGAAAGTATCAGCTTACCTAAGTCTGTGCGAAGCTGCATTTCTGTTGGCGGTTCTGCATCTGACGGCAGATTTATTAGGGTGTAACATGGCTGGTCCGACATTGTCATAGACTCAATCTGAAACCAAGAAATTTTAATAAGAATTAATAAATTTTGTATGTGCGATGTATCACCTTTAAAGTCTTGTAAATTAAATCAATATTAGCAACATTAATAACAGCACCTATTGAAGAAGTGGGTTGGGGACATGGGATACTAAAATTACTTGAGTAGTCTCTAACTAAAACATGTTGCAACACTTTATAATTTGAGTCCATTGGGTTATGTTGAAAACTGTAGCCCTCCTTTTGTTGCAAAAGTTTAAAAAAAATTGTTTGTTTCTGTTTCAAATTAACCTGCATTTGAGTAAAACATCTATTAGCCAAAGAAGTAGCCATCAACCAAATGCAAGACCAAGGACTATTGCGCAGGGTTGTGCCCGAAGTGTATTAAGGTAATCATTCATTCTTAGGGAGGTGAAGATAATGTTGACATGACCAATTCAAATTAAACAGATGATATCATCACAATGAATTGGCGTTATTACTTTAATCATTGGGTATTATCACAATGGAGACATACTGAAAGATTTGGCGACATCACTAAAGTGAATAGGTTATATCCGACACTAAAATGAATTGGGGAGATCGCCAACGAAATCGATGATACCAGTCCAATTCATTACGGTGATATTGCTTACAAAATATAATGGTTAGCGGTGCCATATCCCTCAAAAAAACAAAAAACATAACTCCAACAATGTTAGAGGTTTCGCACGGCGAGAAACTTATGACAGGTGCCGTGTTACAATGTCAGATAATAAAACGACCGGTCAGCGGCCTCTCATGTCATAGGGGTAGTAAAAGAATAAGTTTACGTCAAAAATAATTCCAAAGGAATGTTCGCAGAGATAGGCTTTACTCTGTTTGTATAAATGTCGTTTACTTATTGTTTGAACTTTGTTGTTCAGTATGTTACTGTCATGCTTCAACAAGAGAAAACAGAAATAATCTTCTGACAGATCAACGACGATGTCATGGATGTCGACATTTTTTTATAAAGACTCTCATGACATAACATTCGGAGGATTTAAGAATCATACCCAGATCCATGTTTCCAATTATATCATAAAACATCAATATTGTAATGGAATTCAAACACCAATATGCCCAATGAGTGCTCAACTCAAGTAATTACCTGTTACCGGTGTCAGAAAAATAATGGACGTGGCGAAAAGCCGACGAAGTCTCGCTTTCTCACGCGTTCCAAGGGAGGTGACTCTTGAGAAAACTACAAATAGGCGGCACGTAACAAATTTTAACTATACAAGATGCAAGAATGCGTGTAGTATAAAAGGAATTTTAAAACATTAGCTCAAAACGCATCAAAAATTAAAGTAATTTGAAGTAAACAACAAAATACAACTTGGCATGTATTGCGAGTATCAAACAGCATATTAGTACAACACTAAAAATACACCAAAACAATCAATAGACAATCAGTTAACTTGAAGTGCTTTGGTAAAGTTCCCAATCACAGCATATAGTAGGGAACGGCACAATAATGATGTTTTGAGAGATACAATGTCAGTAGGACCATTAACCGGTAAAAACACACAGAGAACTAAAAAGGAAATAACATCAAACAAAATAAAAGGTAAAAGACGAATGCTAAAAATCTTAAATGGATATGTTGACACAAAAGATTAAAATGGTACGTCATAATCTTTATAATAGAGCGACATCTTTCAGGAAGCCTACAATTTTACAAATCTCAGCATTTTAGAACAGTTAATGTTACGATAAGAACATTCTCGAGTAGACAGAAGGTATCGTTTAAACATACTACAATTATCTGTCTGCTACGACCTGCTGTTACCTTAATTACCTGGTTCGTACATGGGTAATTTGTACGTTTCAAACGTCTTCATATATAATGATACGATTTACAAGACCAATACCGTATCCTCAGGATATGCCTGACAAACGAAATTGTGAAAAGTTAGTAGCAAATTTAATTTTGTGAAATCGTTTCATTAACAAGAACAATTGATACATATATTACAATATGATAAACATTAAGGGTCCGTAAACAAGTCTAAAAAGGACTTCATACTTAAATAATGACCCGACTCATTTTTAAATACTAGAACGTCAGTGTTGTGTGTGTAACAGTGGTATGAGATATTGTATAACAATAACAAAGACCTGCATTACAGGAAATTTGAAATTAATATGGCACTGCACATGTTGTACGATGATCCATAATAGATACGTATAAATATTTCTTTTGATCATGTTTTGGTCTAGTTTTATTGAATTTGAGATTGAATTATGATTCTGCTGTCTGTATATTTCTTTGTTTTTCACTTTTGCAATTACAATGTAACAAAAGTCTCGCTAAAGCCTCGAGTAAGACGCTTTCTGTGTGGAATAACCTTATTACAGTTTAACACAATCACAAAAGTTATATAATGTAAACTTATAAAGGATGAAACGGTTTATATGCTGGACGAAATCGAATTTCAAAATTTCCATTTAAAAGTCATAATTAGAAGGAAGATTTCGTAAGCATGGTTTGTGACCAGAAAGAGAGGAATACATTCAGTAGATATAGGTGTCTGTTTGCAGTTAAACACATGAATCAATCAACTAGATTTTGTTGTGAGAGCCACAACGCATCCATCCTGACCAGCCATACCTTGTGAATTTTAACAGTATGATATAGTAAGATGGCTATGTGTTACTCGGGGTTGCGAATGGATGCGTTCTATTTTACAGTCGCGTAGCTTGTCGCATTTAAAGAAAATGGGAAAGGGTCTTTAAAGAATTTCGTTTGATCGTTTATCTGACAGAAGACAACGATATTTATTGCTTTATGAGAATTTGAGTCAACAATAGTCAGTAGCAGAGAGACCACAGGGCCCTACGAACACTCACCATAATATTGTGACATTTGGTTCTTTCCCATTTTAATCTCTTTAAAATATGAGGCCCTAAACTATCTTCTAAATATAACGTACTATATATAGCTACAATTTTTATTTAGTAGCGCCGGTCATTGTTCTAGCTGCTAAGAACTATGATTTACTTTACTGAAGATTGACTTACGTGCAAAAGGCTCGGATTATATCTCCATATTCAGCAAAAAGCGAAAAGTGGAATGACAAATAGTGCAAAGGCTTGAAATTAGTTAAATTCTTCGCCGTCTTTACTAAAAACTGTGAGTAAAGAATGCCTTTTGGCATGGAAATCTATAAACTGATTACAGTTTTCTCTATCATCGACAATAACGAAAAAATAGATCTCTATCGATCTATCGAAAACAAACAAAAACCTTTCCAGTATTATTTAGTAAAATAAAGTAATCTCTGGGACAACGTATTTGGGAATGTGCTTCTAAAATTATAGAATTCATTGTTTAGTATATTTTGTTTCACTATGTCGTAATTCTGCTAATCTCATAAAAACATTATGCCTGTGTCACGTATTAAAGCAATAAAAAATACCAACAGGCCAACATAATGATAGCCCAAACTCAATGCTAATAAAACTAGGGGGGATTTACACGGTGATTCATGGAAAAGTATCAGAATAAGGGTGTTCCGAAGAGTAAGCGTCTTCTGCCCTATCGGTGACACCTGCCATATAAATCTTGGTCAATCCAAGTTAGTAATGTCACGTTCTCAAAGTAAGTCTTTTGTGCTTACGTCAATTTTCCCGCTCTTATTTTGTTTCCACGCTGATAACGTATAAAAGACATTTTGAAATCAGCGCGCGAAACCTGACATATATGAAACTTTTGCTATTGTTAATCTGAAGATATTTTGTACATACGACTTTACACTTAGATATAGTTTTTGCGACTTCAAGAGAAAATTTAAGTATTAGTGTCATGGAAATTGTCGCTAAGAGGCTATAAGTAAAGAGCCCATGCGGGTTGTCCTGTGTACCAGAATTCTCAACAATGTGCAGTGACGTAGCCACCAGCAGCAAAGGAGACCTGGCCCCACTTGTATAAAACATCTCAACTTGAGATTTCTTCAAGTCAAGATTTTCTTCAGCTAATATCTCCTTGAAAATATCTTGTATGAAAATTCCTCAAGGAATTTCAGGACATCCTAGCCGATGACTTCCTCCTGTTCCTTGAGAAAATTTTATACAAGCCGTTTTTGAGGAGATATCAGCTGAGGAAAATCTCGACTTGAGAAAATCTCAAGTTGAGATGTTTTATGCAAATGGGGCCAGGTCTCAAAATGGTTTTAGGTATTCATGAGTCGATGAACGGATCAAACAAATAAATCTAAATAAAGATATTTTACTATGTTTGTCATTCTCCGTAGATAGTAAACAAAAAAGAAGGGCAACGCTACTTTCATCATGGAGAGATATTGCATTCAGCATTCAAGACTTGGACCAGCTCATACAAGTTTGACGACCGACTTTGATGTTCTGCCCACAACGTTCCAAATATGAGGAGTTGGTGATTTTGATAGTCAATATAGCTGTACTGACGAGATTGGTGTACACTGGTGCGTCATCCTGCTGGAAAATAGTACCAACGCCATGGCGTCTTAAGAATGGTAGAAATCTGTTATTTCAATATCAAATGCTGGTTTAAGTGCTATTTACCACAAGTCTGGTACGATTTCCCTTATAAATACCACACTTCTCCAGTCAAAGTGGCCTCGTTCTGAGATCGCAAAACGCTTCCATCGTAACTTCCACAATTTGTGCTTTCCGCCATAGTATTAAGACAAAATCGGGACTCACCTGGAAATAGAAGATTGTTTCATCTTGTGCAGAGAGTGAAAGTGAGCGTAACCCTTTTAGTATTGAGGATGAGCTACCACAACTATAAGGGTAACGTCGGAACCAGATAGGTCCACCTTAGACATTTAACCCATCGCGGACTGTTTGGACAGACACCCGACGCCGAATCAGTGTACCAGCTATCTCTACTGTGGTAACCAGTCTCACTTAGCAAGTTTATTAACGTGCAGGACGATCCTTCCTGGCACAACAATCATGCCGACACCCTCCAGCTGGATTATTCCTACGGTTACTTCCGTCTGTATTTGGTAAAGCAAGATTTGGCGAATTCAAGCGAAGATATAATTTTGTTATTGAAAATCTCGTGGAGCTTTTCCATTAATACAGACTTTCACACTTGAAGAATGTAGTATTCCCCTTGGATTTTATAATGGATACTATTGTCATTTCTTATACTGAATAAACATCATTTTCACTCATTGAACATGTGTATTCACTGTCAATAGTGCTTGTAGATTTCTGTGCTTTTTATTTGTATGTTTTTCTTGATACATGTTACTGTCTATATTTAGTTTTAACCTTGCATGCATGTGACAATATCTGGAATAATTAAACTGTTTGAAATCTTGTATGTTTATACCACGAGAAACTAAGAGTTAGCTCCCTTACGCTAATAGTTGATGTGAACGCTGCAAGCTGAAAAATAATTACTATCTAATTTTTATATATTTCGTCAATATGGAAAGTTTGTGTAATCTAGTTTATTTGTCAGATTTGAGGCAATCTACTGCAAAATGTTTTCAGATATTTGATAAATTGATTGCCTGATCGTTTATTTTTTCCTGTTCTACGCTATATTTAGTCATTTGAATATTGATATCATTAATCATATTCATCTCATTAATTTTGACGTTTATATCACCCGATACATTTTGTTGGCGACGCAATATCAGCGCCATGTTGAGTAAAATGATTAGACGTCAAAATGGAAGGTAAAGCAAAGCTAGAGGTGTAAGAAAATGACGAGCGATACACGAAGGAACTAGTTTCCTGTACACATTATGTTGCCGGATGTGACGATCAAATACTGCACTTCTCTAACACAATCAAATTACTCTGTAATTATTTGAACTATTTCCATTAACTGATAACGTTATATACTTTCCATCCTGGAAAACTGGAGCATTTTGAGTTGGTTTAGTCCTTTGTTAATAATATAGTGTAGTTTGTGAAAGCCGCATGTTGACAAAGTATGTTATATCTGGTTGTTTCTGAAAGGTAATGTTTCTGCATACACAGGTGCTGATATTGGATCTGATCGGTCACTAAATGTGTCGGTAAACACATGTGCTGATATTGGTAATGATCGGTCACTAAAGGTGTCAGTGTACACAGGTGCTGATATTGTTGCTGATCGGTCACTAAAGGTGTCGGTATACGCAGGTACTGATATTGGCACTGATCGGTCATTA